GCAGCAACCGATGAAGGGAAGGATCACAGCCAGTACCAGTAAAACTATCGACAATGCGGTCAAGAAGCCGTAGTGCTTCAAAAGTTTGCCGGTGTTCCACTTGACTTCGATGATGTTATTCTCATTTATGTCGATGAAACCTGTTGACATTTTTTTTTTACGTTACTGTACATGTAGGAGAGAAGAAGGTAATTATCGGGGAAGAATTTACCAAATACGTCGATCTACAACGTTACGAAATGGAATGCGTAGTTTGACTTATAAAAACGAAATTTCTCTCTCATTTGAGTTGAAAAATTCAGTTAAACGCTTTGTCCATCCATACAATTGTTGGTTCTGTTATTTCTGTGTTTTACATTATGAAAAAAAAAAAAATTTTCGTACAAAGCGATTTTGAAGTCCAATTGACTCAATTAGAAGTTTTTTAAAATACCGAGTAATTAAAAGAGATTACTTTTTATGAATTTCAGGAAACTTCACAAAAATTTTACAATTGGACTAAAATTAATTTGCTACAGTAATTTTTTAAATAAATTATTTTTATGAATTCGTTTTCTAGCATGATAGCTGCATGTCATGGTAAAGGAAGGAAATTTTTTTCTGTACATTACAGGAGGTATCCCATTTTACGAAGTGTATTCAGATTAATGTGACTGTGGTGACTTATAGGGGGACTGTGGACTAATTGGAAAAGTTTGAAATTAAAAAAATATGTCGAAAAAAAAGTCCATCAGTATCAATGCGCATCCTGTACATATATGTATATATCATACATATACATATATATACATATATGTATACATTCAGGATAAAAAGTACTCGTAAAAAACATTAGACTATAGTACATGACCACGAAATTGTAACAAATAACGAAAATTTATGTATGCTAATTGTATTTTGTATGAGGAATTTTCACCTTTCACGTTTATTCTTACTTTTCAGAGCTAAAATTTTCAATAAAAAACCTTATCATTTTATGATACATTTTTTTTCACACCTATATTTCCAAATGTCATATCTACTTTCGTTAATGACGTACAAAAATAACTATTTCATGCACTGCACGATATTCCGCTGTGAATGACACTAACGTTAAACAAATAGTAAGACTTTAACGTGATCCTTTTAAGAAATAAATAGTAGACTGATCTTACTGCAAATGCCATTATACATTAAAAACAAAATTATAACGAATTCAATTCATGAATAGATATAGAAAATCGGTTATTCTTTGGAACAGGTCATGTACCTTATCTCGCGTATGATTTGCCTACTTCAATATGACGTCACCAATGCAGTGAATTAATAAAAAAAAAAAATAAAAAGATCTTGAGTACGCATACTTTTTTTACAAGTGCATATCATATTTAAGTTCAACAAAGGAAATAATTGTCTCACCCTCGGGAAGTGCCTCTTTGCCTTGAATCAGATCAATGAATCCATTGGTGAGGGCATAAAGTGCTTTCATGGAACTCGCGTGATTGGCTTCGGTCTGAACTTTGTACTCCACCGAATTTGCATTTTCGCCGACGTGCGTGTAATTTATCGGTGGAAAGTCACTGGTCGTACCATTTCTCAAGTCATCCACAGCCGTCGATGCCCCACAGACGAGGAGCATAGGGGCCAACGCCAACCCGCACCGCCAAAACTTCATTTTTTACTATTTTTTACGAAAAATATTTGAACGCAGTGTTTTTTGGTGGAACACAATAGGTGTAGAG